TATTTGAGACATGCCAAGTCTGTTGTGTATACATGTTTGTGAAAAACTCCCCTCTTCCTAAACCACTAAACCACAGTACTGGCAAAACGGGAGGAGCCGAGTGAAAAACAAGCGCAATATCGTGCACCACTAGCTTTTATCATAATATAAGCATCTCTGTTGAATGTTGTTTTACTGATTTATTTACCTGTTATTTGAAGTATTTTTGTTTTTAGGATGACTTTTAACATCTGTCCAGGGACTACAGACAGTTGGCTAACTCTGGCGCATTTACAGTAATGTCAATCAATGTGCACTGTCCCTGTCAAATAAATATATAAATAAATACACTACTTTGATAACAGACAGGATTTTCCCACCAAAACTGCTAATTAACAAAGACTAGTCGGTGGGGAACTTGTCGGTTATTGGATTAGTCTCGACAGTTCCTCCTCCTTGGATACAAACATCACAAGCCTGTCCATGAAAATGACTGTTTTCTTTTAGTTTCCATGGATGAAGTTATTGATGACCTAATCAGTCTTGAATCCGGTTTCAATGACGGAGGCTTGGATTGCATGGAGTCTAACCTTACTAGTAACACTTTTAAATTTACATTTACAATCCTTTAGTTTTGTGTGCCTTCTTAGCGCACGTTATTGCAGTTACGCTCAGCGAATAACTTCTGTGTTTTTAAGTTGAATTGGGGACATGAAAGTGAAGTTTCCTCAGTCCAATCTTTTGGGCGCAGGCTTGACTTGCTTGGGAAAAAGGGGACCTGTCTTAGTTTGGGGTCGGATTAAGTCTGGAGATGAGTCAAAGTTCATTGGGGCTTAGCGACATTTCTCACATTACTCAAGAAGACCAACAATGCAGATTAAGTTAAAAAAGAGGATATTTTTGCACATAGGGTAAAAAAGTAGGGACAAAAGAAGACTTTAAATGTATAGTGACTCTCTCACTGCAAGCCCTATCAGTGGCATTCATGGCCAGGAAGGAATTCTAAAACTCTAGGGAAAAAACGTGGGACAAGGGGTCCATTTGGCCGGGGAACATAGCAACACCTGAGCCAAATACAGGGAGAGTTTGTGGGATGGGAACCCTGGGAATCTGGCCTGACTCCTTAAATACAGAGGAAGACAGATTGCTGCACAAAAGACTCATACACCCTGATGAAGTGACACGCAGCCAAACACAACAGATACTGTGACAGAGTAGGAATGAGAGGGGGAGGAAAAGATAATGCTGGGGAGGGGTGAGAGATTTAGTCGGAGAGAGTTACTGAGCCATTGGATTGGGCTAATGCATACACTCCCTATGGGCTTGTTCAGAAATGATACCATGCTTAAATGGATCAATTCATCCTAATTAGTCATACAGTAGGATGCATCAGGTCGTTTCGCCGTGTCAACACATCCAGGAACAGAGACGGGAGAGGGACTGAAGTGATTGCAAAAGGAGTAGAATTGTTGCAATCTCTCACTTTGATAAGCACTTGTGTCCCCTCCTCCTCCTACTCTTCTCCTCCAATCTTAGTGAGATAATGAGAAAGACGCAAACTAAACCAACTGCCGATATCTGACATGTCTGCGGTTCCTTCCGTTTCGTTTCTTCTGCTTCCCATCTGCGACTCGCCATGCAGCCTTATCACGTTCACCAGTCTGGCAGTCAGATTTGACACACAAGTCTTGGATACTATTGGCTGTGCGCATCGTGGAATGCATGGTGGCTTCTGTAGCCTGTTCCCATAAATACACAAATGCGAATTAGACACACATGTGTGTCAGCACGCTATATCTTGACATCTCCCCAGTCCGTGAAAAGACGCCATTATCGCAGAACCGATGCACGCTTTCCCAGACGAGAAGGGACCCGTAGGAAAACAGTTTTGCCTCTGTTCGAGCAGTTGCTAGCTGCCTTTTCATCCAATGGGCACACAGAGCTGTGTTAGGAGCACTTTCAAGTGGAGGGGTTTTGAAAAGGGTGAAAGGCTGGCATTAGCAGATCAAGGCACGAAGTCTGGACAAACCAAACCTCAGACGGCTGTAAGCCTCGGTTGGAGGTTAGGCTTAGATGGGGTAACGCTGGAGGACAACCTTCATTGACCTGGTTCCAGCAAGGTTAAGTTCTTGTTAGTCTTTTTTCACTCTTTGTTATACAAGATGAGCACGCGATCTGTCCTGCTGAGGGAGACATGTGGGTACTACAACCCCCTGCTGGGAGGGCCAGAGCCAGAGGCCTGGGGGCTGACAACCTTTCTCTGATCCCTTCTCTTGTCATTTTATGTCAATGACAAACAAAGCCACACAGCAGCTAAAAACAACTATTTGTGCTGTGGCTTTTGTTAGAGGGTGAAATGCAAATTCTTTTAAATTACATGACATGTTACTTAGACACTTACATACTCAATACTGTGGGCAATCCCCACAGGAGCAATTTGGGGTGAAGTGTCTTGCCCAGGGACACAACGACATGCTGACTGCAGTGGGGTTTGAACCTGTGCTCCCCTGATCCCAACGCTCTATCCACTGCGCCACACGCCTCCACATGCGTTCCCCTGTGACTGACCACTTATCTTTCTCTCCCCCCCTCTTCTCTGTCCTATAGGTGTCCCTCAGTGGCAGCATGCTGGATCTCTATGGGGGTGAACAAGGTATGAACGCCCCTAATGAGTCCCACATCTAACCCCAGAAAGCTCACTGTAGAAAAAGAATACTCAGGTATGAAATCATGCCATAGCTTTACCTAAGAACAAAGCATTTAATAACATGCTCACATTGACGATCAAGTTAAAAACACACATTTTGCTTGTTGGTTTAAGACATTTAGGAAACAAATAAAGGCATATTTCTTATAAATGTGCTGCAAAGTAAGCAAAGTGTTCATTATTTCTAAAACCCAGTCCAGTGTCACAAATGTCTTTTCAATCGTTCCACTAATAGACTGCAGAAAGAAACGTGTAGACTTTTTGTCACAGTGCAAAAAAATAAAAATACTAACAAAGGGCCCTTTAAGACATTTCTTATTAATGTCATGCATCAAGCAAAGCAGCCTAATTGATAAGGAAGACTTTACTCTTTACGTGTGAGCGTGGGCAGAGAGGGGTTACAGACTTTAAATTGTCCTGATTGAATCAACAGAGACAAATTGGGAAATCCAACATCAGGTCCCCAATTATGTAATTTGGAAGAATGTCAATACAAATATGGATGCACTGGCATTTTTGTCCCTCATCCAGTGTATGGAATTTGCCAAAGTGTCCCAATTACGGTAGTTAAAAAGTGATCCCCATTTTTGCGTCCACAATGAGCTTCAGACATGCTGGACGGGATATATTGGGCTTATTCAGTGTGTGTGTGTGTGGTGTGTGCGTGCGTGCGTGTAAGGAGGTCCAACTAGTGTCTGGGGTGTGGGCTAATGAACGGGAATTCCACATTCTGGCTGACCCTGCCCCTGAACTCCCTCAAAACAACTGTGTGTGTCTCCTGACTGGACCTTTTGTGGCGTTTTGCTCAGGGTTGCTAATACATTTGTTCCCCTTCTCTCGACAGAACTCGACACAAGAGGGATGGCCAAAGAGAGACAGAAAAAAAACAACCATAATCTGAGTAAGTGTCTGCCGCGCCTTTCAACTCCCTCACAGTATATCATCTTAAATGACTTATAGCTAGCCTTTAGCGCAGCAGAACACAATTCTATTAACTTTTTCTTCTTCTGCTTGTTCAGTCGAAAGAAGGAGAAGATATAACATCAACTACAGGATCAAGGAGTTGGGACGCTCATACTGTCTGTTTTGCTTTTTGTTTATGTATGTCTGTAAGTTGTTGCTATTGTTGGGACCCCCTTGAAAACGAGATGGTGCATCTAAGGGGTTTATCCCAATATATGAAACAACAACCTTCTTTTGCTGCATTTGTCATGGAAATAACTGCAAGACCATTTTCTGGCGAGGAAGAGCATATTCAATTCAGAGCACAAGGACATTTTAAACGTTGTTCATTGAATTCAAATGAGTACTCAAGCACATTTCAGTCATATTTCAAGGGTGCACTTGACTTCCATTGTAGTCGAAGCTCCACGAGCTGTAACTCCTCCCGGGTCCGGCAGTTCGCGCAAAGCATGAATGTAACACAATGGACGGGTGAGGTGGCGCTGAATTGCCACCTGCCATCTTTCCACAAATTGAACTTTGCTTTAAATTTAAATGGAAGGTTACCGTTGTCATCGCGCCATTAACACGAGATAAAGGAGATTATTAACGCTGATCACACCAACCTCTCATTCCTTTGGAAAGGACAATTTTCTACAGCTCCCCTTTACTTAAAAGGAAGCAATAATATCTGCAAAAGAACGACTTGCACTCTAGCACCTCGAGTCCAATACTCCATTTTCTCCTCCGTCTTCCTACTTAGCACTCTTTTACTCGAGGATTAATTTTACCGAAGACCATTCTGCCGACATCAGGGGGTTCTGAATTAAAGGTTATCTTTTACATTTCTCCTTTCCGCAGAGACATGCGCTGGAACAAAGGCACCATCCTGAAGGCCTCGGTGGAGTACATAAAGTGGCTGCAGAAGGAGCAGCAGCACGCTCGGGAGCTGGAGAGCCGTCAGAAGAAGCTGGAGCAAGCCAACAGGAGACTTCTGCTGAGGATCCAGGTGAGAACATGGAACGGTCTACAAATCGGCATTTAGTTCACACGTTAATTCATATCGATTTTTGGCTTGTGTAACCATTAGCCAATCACCAACCAAGGTAACTTAGTGCCCCGGCACTTATGCACTAAGTACATCGCCTCCTGAGGGAAGATTACCAAATGAGCCGCTGGCGTCACTTCTTCTCTTCTTTTGGCTGGCAGGCCACAAACAACCATAAGTTATTCTCTTCCGTTGGTGCGCAGGGCTAATGCTAATGCTAATAATGCTAATTCCAGCAAATACAATGGCGGCTTCAAAATTTCAGACGGGCGTGGTTTGCAATTCGCCCAGCCAATAGAAATTGTACTTTTTTGGTACCATCTCTCTAGCAGGCACTAAAAATGGGGGAAAAGTTCCCGGCACTACAATGACATTAGCTAGGATATGCTGGGTTGCTAATAATGGATTATGACAGCCAGGGTTCCTCCTGGCTTGTTTTTTAGTTTGGTAAAACAGGACTATTCGGACAATCCACCTGATCATTCATCCCTAATTT